AAAAATGACGTGACAAGGCTAAATCCATAAGAATTCAAGCACATTTTATATCATTCACAACCTAAATTCAACTCGGGAGGCTGTTGACGGTAGCCGTTAGATGACGGCTGACAAAGTTGGCCAAGAAGGGGTGACTCGGACAACACGGTTAGCTTAGGGGTCAAACTGTAACTTTTAAATAATCCATATGTATATAAAAATATTTTTTTTATTAAAAACAAAAATGTTTTTGTCTTTAAAAAGTTTATTAGTGTCCAAATTTCAAACGATATATATTATGGAATCCTTTGACAAAAGCAAATTAGTTATGTCCTTTTGCCCAAGTTCATATCCAATGACCTTGTCTAAGAGATATTGGTCATTTGGTCTCAGTTTACACACATATTTATGCTTGTCTCGGCCCAGTTAACAGTAATTTTATTTCAGGCCCGGAACCGGCACAAACCCAGCCCGGCCTATGCCCGGATTTACAGCAGGCCGGTTCAGGGTCATATGAAGCATTGTCAGATTTTTACATTTTTTTTCTGGACAAGACCTGGGTTGAGTCCAATTCCAGGTCGGAACCGGACCGACGGGTCACTAAACCGACCCAGCCCGTCAGTCGTGTACCGACAGTACCTAGGTATGGGCCAGTTCAGGGTCGGTAATGAACCCGCCGATTGGCCAGCTCGGCGCGGAATTTGGCCATGTCTGCTCGTAGGTGAAAATTCTGAACACCAATCTCCTACATTTAACAAGCGCAATAAATACTAAAGTAAAAATTTCAAAACAAGGCATTACAATTTAGCAGTAGCAGTCTAGTCGAAGACCAGTGGATAAGCCTTTCCAACTTGACAAAATAAACAGCAAAATTTTTTCTGGAGGACTTGGGAACAATCTGTCTATTGTTTCATCTTTACCTTGTCTGTCAAGCTTTTGTATTTCTTAGAGATCTTGTGTGGTAAATGTACTTGATTTGACTTCATCTTGATCGATTTAACCAATGAAGATAGCTCATTCTTTTCTTTCAACTGAGGCAACCCATCAGATTCTCTCCGACCAGAACCTGGAATTTCGGATATATTCGTTTGTACTACAACATTGTCTTTATCACCCTTTTTCTGCTTCTCTGCAATCTGCCGAGCATAAGCTGCACTCCTGTAGCAGCAAAATGTCGGTCAATTAAATTGGATATATTAAAAATAAAATCAAAACTGAACAATTTAACAAAACGAACTGAAGATACAAACCAATAACTGAAATTCTACCGAGAGAAAAAAAAAAGGAATTGAATCTTGTATTCCAGTTAGTTTTGGTTAGTTATAAGAGAAGAGACTAAAATTGGAAAACTAATAACTAAATGAAACACACAATTGTTCGAGAATATACCTCTTGAATTGGGGGTCAGTTGGATCGAGAGCAAAACTTGGTGATGTGAAAAAGGAAGCAAAACGTGGATCATCATAGTCGGCGGATGGTATCTTCCCCTCGTCCAGATTTGCCTTCCCTTTCTTCCCTTTGATCTTTTTAGGTTTTATATTATAGCCCCTTAAGTTGGTCTCTGTTCCAACATCATCAGCAGCTAACAACTCGAGCTCCGCTTGGCTGGCTTCGGCTTCTTGTCTATTCTCCTTATTCATCTTTCTCTTTTTGGTTTTGCCAACTGAATGATTTCCATTTCTTGCATCTGAAGGCTCCTCAACAAAAAAGTCATCTTGCTGTTTTGAAAGCTCTATATCATCATCATTTTCATCCTCGCTATCTTCTGATGAATACTTGGATCCCTTTTTCGATTTCTTCTTTTTATCTTTTCTCTTTCTGAGAACAGCCTCCCAAACAGTTTCCGATTTCCTGTCCTTCTTTTCCAAGATGCGTTTGCTTAGATCTTCTAAACCAGAATTAAAAGTAACCTCCATGTCCTGGTCACCATTCTCTTCATGATCTACATCTGAACCGTCATCACCTGACTGAATAAGAGCGCGGTACTTATCTCGTTTACTGGATTTTTTAACAGATTCACCATCCACACCTTCATCGTTATCTTCATCATCAGCTTCACTTTCACTCTCGTCAGAAGCTAAAAATTCTTTTAGTTCCAACTCCTCAAGCTGAAGACATGGAAAAGAATCAGGTGAAAATCACGATCAATACATATCTGAACAAGGATTATCTGCCAAACAGTTAACAATGAGCACATGCAACAGTAAGGGTAGTAATACTCAGAATACTACTAACCTGCTTATCACTGAGCTTTCTCTTCAAGATCTGTGCTCGTTGAGGTTCATCTTCATCCCATGTTAGACTAATGTTGCTCTGTTGCAATGCACTAGTTTGAAAATTTGTACCCTCATAATTGGCTGGTGCCTAAGAAAAGCAAAGAAATAGACTTCAACTTTATGAAAAGCCAACTATCCGATTTATTTTCACGCACTTTTCTTTGACATGACCAGAGTGTTATTTAAGTAAACTGGGATTGTACCCGAGAGAGAAAATCTAAACAAAGAAAGATACCCATGCTTACAAAACTTATCAGGGAACTAATTCAATAGCAAATATTCCTATACCGACATGACATGTCTCATGTACTGACATAGCAGCACTACTTACCTCAGTTGCAACATCACGTGGCTGATGTTTAAATTCCATAGAGTCGGGAATAAATCTCAAATCCAACTTATTCGCAGATCTTTCAAATTCAACTCCGTCGCAACTTTTGTAAAGATAGTCAGCTGTGGCACTTGAATCACATTCCACCACAGCGTAATAGTACCTAAAGCAAAAATGGTAATGTATATTGTATAGCAATAAGAGTGAGGGAGAGAGATAAAAGGCGTAAAAGGAGGCACCCTTGTAGAAACAACTCAAAATATTCTTCATGTTGGTAATTTAAATCTAAAAATTCCAATTCAATGATTTTGAACTCAAGGCAACACGAAGAAAGAATGCTAAAGAAGTAAAAAAACATAGTTATATTTTCTTATTGTCAATGAAATAATGAGTTAACAGCAAGATTTTCTTTCTTATACTCCAGCAAGTAAGAAACTGATTTACTTCTAACTCTTTCTGGCAGTCAATAGCGACAATCAAATGACTTCAGCAGTATCACTAAATGCATAGGATAAGGAAGTACTTGCCATCTATACACACTAGAGTAACAATTGTAAATTTCCAAAATAAAAAAACTGCTAATCTTTTTCATATGGTAGCCAACATTTCAGCATTTGTGCAAACATATCTTTAAATGCTGAGCCACGTAACAGGTACTTATGAAACCATCCCAAGTGTACAAGTACAGTAAATTGCCAAGCTATTTCCCAAAACAGCAGTAAACTGTGCATTACATATCAAGAAATATTGCCAATCTACTTCCCAAAACAGCAGTAAACTGTGCATTACATATCAAGAAATATTCAAGAGCATAAATCCAGTATAGTTATATTAATTGATACCTTAGCCTGCTTAACTCATAAGCACGAAGCTTTTTGTTATTCATCTTGTCATCCTCAATATCATCATTTTCCTCTTCATCATCATCAAATAATCCAATAGGACCACGAACTGCTTCCTCTTCCATGCGCTTAATTCCAAACTCAGATGGATAGACCGCTACAGACAGAATTTGACCCCCTTTAGGAAGAAACGAACTTAGCAAGACATACAAGTCAACAGCCTACATAATTAAAAAATTTCTCCTCGTGAGACGAACAACAGCAATCCTTCGCCAAAATAAATAAATAGTGATAACGACTACATTTGATAAATGTATAATCAGCTGGTTGCAGATTCAGTGAAATGCTTAATATTCAAGAGTGGGGATAAGCAGATAACTTAAACCTCAATAATAATTTGAGGGAAAGGTTGTCTAGGACACTCTTTCAACACAGATGCATGTGTTCCACAAAGTACAATATTTGAAGTACTAAAAAATTTAGGAAAATTATTTAAACGTGTAAATTATTAAATTTATGGACCACGTGAGCACCAAAGTAAAATATAGCCTACTAACTAGATCAGTTTTGGTACAGCTCGACCAGTTCTTCCTAATATACATGCTATTATTGCTTTTGATCATAAGCATGTACTTGTAAAATCCAGCAGATCACCAATCATAAGCTTGTACTTGTAAAATCCAGCCGATTACCCAGCATTGCACAGCAAAACTCTGATAAAGGTTGGCAACTTTCAAAGTAAAACAATTACCATTACAATTTCTTTGACCACTCTTTAAACCATTTTTTGGTATCACAATCATTCCATTGTTCAGCTTTACCTTTATCTGTGATTTCCAATGTTCTAATGAAAATTCCATGAAGCCTCTTCTATTGCAAATGTCTATCCAATATCCAAAGGAACACTATCAAGACCAATGATATACACCACTATAACATAGAAAGAACATGAACATTAGCAAGAAGGAACATATACAATACAATGATCCTAGAGAGAATTTCAGAAGCTCAATACACTCACCCTAACTTGACTCCAGTCCATACTAACAACAGCTAGCCTTCTTGTTTCTTGATCTATTTCTGGCACATTTTCCTCCTGCACAGAAAGGAAAAAAGGTGAATAAAAACGTGAAATCAGCTCATCAATCGTGGTTGAGACACAAATCGTAACCTGAGGCATAAAGGTATCCTCCTCCTCTTCCTCTTCGTCCATAAAAGGGTCATCGGAATCTGAATCCGTGGTGCTGCTGGCGGAAGATGATTCACTAAAGCTCTCTCCATCCTCCGAATCCTCACTCTCACTTTCAGCCTGCTGGCTCTTGGCTCTATCTTCATTTTCTTCATCATCAATATTTTGAGCCGACGCTTGGTTCTCATCTTCTTCCGGTGGCTGAACACTATAGTAATGACTCAGAGATGCTTCGTCTTTGCTCTTCCTCCGTTTTCCACGCTTGTCGACGGGAGCATTTGAAGGGGCGAATCTGGAGTCGGTTAATACGCGGCTGAACCGAGAATCAAGCTCCACTTTGCTCCGCCGCTTTGGAGCTTCCATGAAGCGAGGATCCGACACAGCAGACGCGAATCGGTCATCGCTTATCGCTTTAGCTTCGCCACTCTTCCTGGTTTTCTTCATCTTCTTTTGCTTTTTCTTCCCGTCGGAGCCCATAGCTTAAGCGGCTTCTTGTGGAGAATCCGGACTTGCACAAAACCCTAGCCGGTTCTAATAGCGGGAATTGGGTCAAATAATGAAATTATCCAACTAACCCTAACAAAACTATTTATTTAAAACTTTTAATATGAGATAATGTTACCAATTTGTCCTTACATATTTTTCTTCAATTCATTATGCAGTATTCCTTCTTCATGTCGAAATGGTCTGCATGACCCTCTGCAGACAAGATATTGTGTAAATGACCCTTAGACTAATTTTTTACGATAGCACTTAAGAGCATCCACAATGTTTTGTGTTTTTTTTAAAAAAAAATATACAGACTATATAGGAAATAGACTCGGTTTAGAAACATTTGTACTCCAATGCAAATGCAATTTGACTGAGTGTCATAAAAAAAAATGAGATACTTGAGTCTATTTTAGACTCAAGTAGAGACCTATTCTATTTGTATTGGAGCTAATTTCATTACTTTTTAATATTTTTGTCCAAGTCATCTAAGACTTAAGTCTATTTACATGGCATGTAAGCAAAATTAGACTCAAAGCATTGTACATGCTCTAATAAATAATTATATTAAATAAGAACTAGTGTGTAGCTCGTGCGATACACGGTTAAACATTATTAACTAATAATTATGAAAAGAGAAGAGTAAAGAATATTAACTAATAATTATAAATTAAAAATATAGTTAACTAATATTAAATAATAATTATAAATTAAAGATGTAGAGTAACATATATAACATATGTAAAAAGTATCTAAAGTATTATATGGTAAGCGTAATTCTCATTCAACAGAAAATAGTTTAAATAACGCAAAAAACCAAGATATCAGTATATACGCTAACGTGGCCACATGCACAAAATCGGTTCAGACAATGTAAATCGTTCAAAATGAGCAAACGGATATTAACAATCCATTTTACCTATAAAAGACAAATTTTCCCGAGTTTTTGGGGTTTTCATACGATCCATCGTGTGCACATTTCTTGTTTTCCCTCAACTTTGCTTTGTTCGATTCTTAAGAACGATTAACAAATTAATCTTGTGAATTTTATGTTTTTATTTTCAATCGATGATACTTATTTTCAGAAATCACGTAAAAATGGTGGATATTATGTTTCTTGTTCGAATTTCATTTGTTTTTTCAAATACCAAACAAATTATTGGATTTGTATTGTGTTTTTTTTATTTGAGTTTAAAAAGTTAACACCAATATGATTTTAGTTTTTTTTAAAAATCCGAATTGCGAAATTTTCTTTCGAAAAAACATAGATTTCAAAGATGATTTGTCAAGTTTTCTTTTTATTCTCAAAGTTTATTTCATGATTTTTGATAAAACTGGGAAGAATCAATACGGTTTGTTCGATCTTTGTGAATTTTTTAGAACAAAAATAGAAAAAAATAATTAAAAAATACTCATATTCTTGGAGTCGATTGTTGCTCTGCTGGTTTGGCCCGATTGCTCTACTGTGGAAAAGCTCACTTTTTAGTTTGTTTGTTTGTGTGGCTTTGTTTTTTGTTATTTTGACCGCGCGTCGCAACGCGGCAAAATTATAATTTATATTTTGCTCAACTAACATCTACTAACTAGTAGTAGTGGCAAGTAAGGGTCGATCCCACAAAGAGTGTGAATCAAATTGTGAATTTCTCGTATTAATTGAAACTAAGAAAGCAATAAATGGGGGGATTGGATTTAATA